GAGATCGAGCCAGGGGGTGGAGGGGGTGGAGGAGACGGGGGAACCGGCGGGATAGGGGGGGAACTCACCTCCTCCTCCTGCTTCCTCCTCTTCCTCATAGGTGTGGAGCTCCCCCTCTCCCGCGAGTATCGCGGGTCCCCCACTTGTGCTTATCTAATTCCCTCTTGAAGCCGTCCATGCTTGTAGCCGCCGCCACCTCCTGTGGCAGTGAATTCCAAGTGTTCATCACTCTTTGGCTGAAAGAAGGACTTCCTTTTATCCCCAGAAGAACAAGAAGAAAGTGGTGCACTCCAAGCCCCCAGAGAAGAAAGCCAGGATGGCACCCCAGCCAGCCGCTAAAAACGTCAGCCCAGCCAGCCCAGACAGCTCAGAGGAGAGCATGTTCCAGGTACTTCCGAATGTACAGTTTGGTACGCGGGGATTCATTAGGGCTCTTTGTCCTTGTGGGCTGCAATGAAAAAGACTAGCTCCCCTTCCAGATATACAAGGCACAGGGCCTGCTGCTTAGTCTAACCTCTTTTATACGTTTCGTTCAACCTTCCGTCCGTCATTTGTGTGTTCCAAAAGGAGCTGGGTTTTGTTCATTCATTTTCTTTTAATCACCTGCAGTCCCCCTTTCTTGTCGAAACTCCAGGGGGATGTCTTAGTGCAGGCAGGGGCGTCGCCTTGGGGAGGCCGTGGAGCTCATGCTCCTCTGGGATTCCCTGGCGGGGAGCAACGGACCCTGGGCTGACAGGCCCTCCGGCATTTCCTGATTGGGGGCTATGCTCTCCCCCCTCCCCCTGCAAGCAGCCAGGTAGCCTCCTGACACTGCTCAGGCTGCCAAGTTTTCCGGTCAGTCCCATTTGTAGCAACTGAGCAGGTTCCTAGGAGGCAGAGGGCTGGTTTTGCTTGCTTGGTAAAGGGGGGGGGGGTAATACTGCCTGTGAAGAAGCCCATTTGGGGAACTAGCACTCCCTTCCCTGTAGGAATTCTCCTTCCCCCTTTTGTTATGGCAAACAGAGCTGGGTGCGAGGTTTGACACTGTTTGACCACAGCAGTCAGGCAGCAGTTCGGGACCTCCACTGCATTTGGTGAGTAGCCCCCCCCAGCTCAAAAACCCAGCCACAAACTTACTGGGTGACCCTGGGTGACCTTCCTGTCCTAAATGTGTCGCGACATCCCTGCAAGGTAGGCCTTGTGTTGCAGGTCTGAAGAAGAGACGACAGTGTGGCTTGCCCAAAGCCGTTGGGGGAGTCAGTGGCATAAACAAAATTCGGCCTGAGGACCGTCCCAGGTCGCAGCTCACCTCAGCTGTCGGAGAATGGAGGCTCCTAGTGGTGTCGGGAGGAGTGCTAGGATTTTAAAAAAACAGCAACAACTGGGGAGAGCTGTGAATCACACAAAATACAACACCTTTATTGGCATAAAAAGCTGTGAATCTGAACTCCACTCTGGGTGCGTTCAGACGGGGGCTTTCTGCCGGCATAAACTGCACCGGTTGGAACCGATGCAGTTTATGCCAGCAGAAACGCGATCAGACTTACCTCCATTTTGCGGATCCCTCCGGTGTACGCCCGCTCACATGCTGCGGGCGTCGGCGAGTTTGTTTTTTTAAAAACACAGTTTGAGCATGCGCATAGGCAGCCATTCACAGAATGGCGATCTTTGCGCATGCTCAAACCTCCCCCATTACGTTTAAACTTTAAAGGTAAGGACTTACCTTTAAAGTTTAAAGCCCAACCTGGCCTCCCTTAAGTCCCGGACTCCTCCGGGAAGTTAAACTAAGGGCTTTTTTTTTTTTTTTAAACAAATGCTCAGGGCAAAGCTTCGCCCGAGCGCATATTGCCTAGTTTTTTAAATAAATGGCGGGGGAAAGCCGGAAGCCTCAGGCTTCCGACGGAAATGGCTGTGGAACGGTGGAGACCAATCGGACGCCGGGGTACACCGTTTATAACCGTTGCACTCAGTATACCACCACTAGTTTACATAAGAACATAAGAGACGCCAATGTTGGATCAGGCCAAAGGCCCATCCAGTCCAACACTCTGTGTCACACAGTGGCCAGAAATACCAGTGCCATCAGGAGGTCCAGCAGTGGGGCCAGGACATTAGAAGCCCTCCCACTGTTGACCCCCCCCCCAAGCACCAAGAAGACAGAGCATCACTTGCCCCAGAGCCCCTAGCTATACCTTGTGGCTAATAGCCACTGATGGACCTCTGCTCCATATGCTTATCTAATTCCCTTTTGAAGCTGTCCATGCTTGTAGCACCCACCACTTCCTGTGGCAGTGAATTCCATGTGTTAATCACTCTTTGGGTGAAGAAGTACTTCCTTTTATCCGTTCTAACCTGACCGCTCTGCAGTTTCATGGAGTGCCCACGAGTTCTTGTATTGTGAGAAAGGGAGAAAAGTACCTCTTTCTTTACCTGCTCTTTCCCATGCATAATCTTATAAACCTCGATCATGTCACCCCTCAGTCGTCTTTTCTCCAAGCTAAAGAGCCCTAAGCGCTTTAACCTTTCCTCATAGGGAAAGTGTTCCAACCCTTTTATCATTCGAGTTGCCCTTTTCTGCACTTTTTCCAAAGCTATAATATCCTTTTTAAGGTGTGGTAACCAGAACTGCACACAGGACTCCAAATGAGGCCCTGTTGCTTCTTCTTTCTCAAAGAACCAGCCCCTAAAGCATTGATCTGGCAGAATTATGCCTTTTCCCCGAAGAGGCTGCCCTGTTGTGTTTCTATATGAATGACTGGGGAAAGGCAAAACCAGAGCATTTGAGATGTGCAGGAAGTGTAGTGAGGCTTCAGCCCCACGGGCCTTTTCCGGTGGAGGAGTGAATGTGCCTCTAAGTTGGCCATCACTGTTGGCCTTCCCACTGTTCCCAACCAGTGCTATGACATTTACTCTCCTTGACACAGAGAGCACTCCCTCTTTCTGTGTTATACCTCTGAGGATGCTAGTCACAGCTACTGGCAAAACAAACTGTCAGGTCCTACAATGCCAAGACCACGGCCAGACAACCCGGAAAATCTACAACAGCATTCTAGTACAGTTATTAATCAAACAGATGGCACGTAAGGCACAATTTCCAAGCTCTCAGGGGGAGGATCGTGCATCATGTGTGTCAGTAGATATTATGACTAATATTAAGACAGGGTCTGTGGCTGGAAAAGGGGGGGCAATCTAGAAGCTATCATTGTCTTCTAGCCTGGTGGAACATTTTTGGTCTTGCAGGCCCTGAGGAATTGCATTTAGTTTAAAAACTGCTCTGCCACCTTTTTGATTGTAAGCACCAGCAGCCTGGTTCCTTCTTGGGACAAGTGGAGGCCATCTCTTTTGTACAGGTCCTGCTGGTTCCTGACAGCATCCCAGTGCCTAACAAACGTAAACCCTTTCTCCCTACAACATTGTCTCATCTACTCATTGAGACTCCTGATTTGTGCCTGTCTCGCTGGCCCTGCGTGTAGAACAGGCAGCACTTCTGAGAAGGCTACCTTGGAGGTCCTGGCCTTGAGACGCCTGCCTAGCAGCCTAAATTTTTCCCTTCAGGACCACACGGCTACATTTCCCCACATTGTTGGTGCCAACATGCACCACGACCATTGGCTCCTCCCCAGCACAGTCTACTAGCCTACCTAGACCACGCGTAACGTCCACCAGGGCTATTTTGGGGCAGAAACGCACAGGAACAGCGTTCTGGCTGGCTCCCAAGTTGGCCACGCCCAGCAGGAACTCATTAGCATAACAGGCCACACCCAACAGCAGAAACTCCTTAGGATTCACTACATTAGGGGTGCGTGGCCTAACATGCAAAGGAGTTCCTGCTACAAAAAAAAGCCCTGGGTTTTGACAATAAACAAGGTAAACAGAATAAGAAGCAAAAGGTAGGTGTGGCTGGATGACCACTCTTCTGGTAACACGGGGTGTGTGGCCTAATAGGCTAATGAGATGTGCTCTCGTGGGTGTGGCCTAAAATGCTAATGAGTTTCTGATGTTGGGTGTGGCCTATTATGCGAATGAGTTCCTGCTGGGCTTTTTCTACAAAAAAAGCCCTGACGTCCACTACCTTCCTACCAGGCAGGCAAGTCAACCGCGGTCAGTACATGGGTTCGCCACTGATCTATCTACATGCTTAAGGATTTAATCACCAACTACCAAGAGTCCGGAGGTGCTGATGATTACCGCACTGGGAGTACCAAAAATAACCAGACAACGGTTAACAGTTATGACTTTGCAGACAACGGCGTTTTTGTCTTACAGATAGGAAAGCTGCGTTATGTCCAGGTGTCCCTTTTTAAAGGGCAAGTCCTGGTAGACCTTCGTGAATTCTACACGGACAAGGCGGGAGACATGAAACCTGGGAGGAAAGGTAAGAGAGCCCTCTGCCCAAACTGGGAGGCGTGGAAGCCGCTGCCTGACACCCACTTGGCAATACGGGACTTGCCTGTCTGGCCACAACGTAATTGCATCAGCTGTAGCTTAGTGACCTTCAGGGGACCTTCAGGGGACCTTCAGGGGACCTGCGGGGCTACTGCGGAGTACAGTTTGGAAACTTCCTCAGGTCTGGTGATAGCCGTTTGCAACAATCTGGTGTAAGCAAACGGGCTTGTGGCTCGAATATTAAAAAATGGCCCCCAGCTTTTCAGCAGGTCCAGCTTAAGAGAGTGAGAGGGTTACCAACCTCTAGGTGGGACCTGGAGAGCTCCTGGAATTATAACTGATCTCCAAACAACAGAGATCAGTTTCCCCAGAGAAAATGGCTGCTTTGGAGAGGGGGACTCTGAGGCCTTGTGTCTTGCTGAGGCTCCTCCCTTCTCCAGGCTCTGCCCGGAATCTTGGAGAGCATCCACTCCTTTTTGAGACTCGCCTTGCCTTGAGCTCTTCTCATGCTCTGGGCACAGCGGGGGCTTTTTGGTGTTGCCTCCCAATCCTACAAGATCTGTCTTGCTGGGGTTTTCCCCCCTGAAACACTTTGAACTTTAGACATTCCTCTTCGCAATGGTGTTCGGTACTGAACATTGTATACTTCAGGTAGAGTTGCCAACTCCAGGCTGGACAGTTCCTGGAAATTTACAAGTATTGATCTCTGGAGTCTGAAGATCAGTTGTAATTCTAGGAGATCCTTAGGCACCACCTGGGGGGTGGCAACCCAAGCTTTGGGGTTGGATCCTTCAAACCAAATCCGCTTGTGCAAGTAAAAACCCAGAGTCAACACAAGTGTAAGCCTTTGTGCTGTGTTAACTTGACTGTATCCCACACTTTGCATTTCCACAGGCGAGCATGAAACACAGGGCCAAAGGTATGATCGAACACTCCCTCTCCCCCTTAATGACCCTCTACTAAGAAATCATATTGCACCTCCAAACTGGATGAATCAAATAGCCTTTTGACCCAGCAACAGATCTGAAATGAAAAGTTAGCACTTGATCTTAACAGTAGTTCTTGTGCAAGCAACTGCACGAAGCCAAACTCCACTCTAATCTGGGAGAACCGGGTTTGATTCCCCACTCCTCCACTTGCACCTGGCTGGATGACTTTGGGGAAGCCATAGTTCTGGCAGACCTGTCCTTGAACAAAAGCAGTTTCTGTCAGAGCTCTCTCAGCCCCACCTACCTCACAGGGTGTCTGTTGTGGGGAGGGGAAGGGAGTTTGTAAGCCGCTCTGAGACTCCTTTCGGTAGTGAAGGGCGGGGTATAAATCCAATCTCTTTTCATCCTTTTCTTCTTCTTAATTATTGTGTGGCAGGATTCAACCCTTAATGGTTTGCAGTGCTCCTGAACTTACTGTGACTTTTTGTATTGTGCTCTGAAGCTGACAGAGGGGTATGAATTTTAGTGAAAAGTAGCTGAAAGGATTTTACTCTTGTGGGGGGGGGGAAGTCTGTGTGATCATCTGGAAGCCACTCCCAGAGCACCATAGGTGAGTAGCTTTGTGCGAGTATGTGCTAATCTTTCTTCCCCTCACCCCACCATTTCTACATGTAGGGATTTCCCTTTCTGCTGAACAGTGGATCAATTTGAAAGAGAGAATTCCAGAAATTGATGCTGCTATCAAGAAATTCTAAGATACAAGCTCCTTAAAAATGTTGGTTCTGTGTGTGGGTTTTGTTTGTTTAAAAAAGTTTGTGGGGTTTGATTGGGAAGGTAGCACCATTCTTTTCTGTTACCTAATAAAACGAAAGGGTTGAAAGGGTTTGCTTTTTTGTTTTTGTTTTTCTCAAAGGAGAATCTACTGAAGGATAAGTGGAAGATCCAAGAGATGCAAAGCCTCAGTTTTTCAGAAAATTCTGTGGCCATGCTTGGTGTAGGATTGGCTTGATTACGACTTTATGCTCCGTTCCCACTTGTAGCACCGGGAAAGGGGGTGTAACGGCTTTCCTATGCTGAAATAATTCTAACAGGATAGGCTCATTGAAGGGCTTTTGGCCAGGACTGCTACATGGAACCTTCCTAGTACTGCTTGCAGACACCCACAGGGAAATGCTTTGGCCTCATGGGCAGTGTTCCCTCTAAGCGGAGTTAGTGTGAGCTGGCTCACAGTTTTTTAGCCTCTGGCTCACACATTTTTGTCTTAGCTCAGGAAGGATGGCCCCAGAGCAAACTAATTTATGCAGTAACCAGGGGTCATTTCCTGCAGTAACCAGGGGTCATTTCCTGCAGGAGCACACAGGAGCGGAGCGCCGGCAGTAAAGAGCCCAGGAGGTAGGCACATGCAACAAGCCCCACCCCCTGCTCCCAGCAGCCCTCAGTCAGAGCAAGAAGCAGCCAGGTAAGCTGCAGAGCCCCTCCCCCGGGCCCCCCTGGTCCAAAACAGTCCAGTGGCACCTTTAAGACCAAGTTTTATTCAGGTACAAGCTCTCCCTCCTCTGTGAGGGCAGATGTGCACGTTCCCCCCTCCCCCCAATAGCTAGCAATCCAAAACAGTCCAGTAGAGCCTGAGTGGTGGGTGTCGCCTTCTGACACACTTCCGGTGATGTCAGGGTGTGTGGCATATGCAAATAAGTTATGCTAATGAGTTATGCTAATGAGCTCCTGCACCTCTTTTTCTACAAAATGACCCCTGGCAGTAACCAAATTGCTCGCTCACAACCTTAATGCCAGTAGCTCACAAATTAGCATTTTTGCTCAGAAGACTTTACAGCTTAGAGGGAACATTGCTCATGGGTGGTCTTGGTGTGCCCATGTCCCTGTGGGAAACAGGAAGCTAGACTAGATATCTGTTCTTAGGTTAACACATTTTGAGATGCTGGATAATTTCAGACAAATCAGGCAACAAGTGTTCCCCAAAGAGGGTGGCCAGCTTCCAAGTGGGGCCTGGGGATTGCTCGCTTTTACAACTGATCTCCAGCTGGCAGAGTTCAGCTCCCCTGAATAAAATGGCTGCTTTGGAGGGTGGACTCTATGGTATTTTACCGTGCTGAGGCCCCTCCCCTCCCCAAACCCCGCCCTCTACTGGATCCTCCCCCAAAGTCTCCAGGTGTTTTCTGGCCCAGACCTGGCAACCCTTCCCCCAAATCTGTGAACATTTAACATGGCGCTAAGAACAAACATCAGGTATTGTGTATAGCCCGCCGGATTGGGCAATACCCAACAAAGTGCATGCACACTTAGTAAAAGTCTAAATCTGTTCACACAGTTTTCTGCTCAGAAGTCAGGGTGTGACTAGCAAAATCCACATTTTGAAATCTTTATGAGATTGTGCAGTTTTCCTATACATATATACAAGGGTCATTTCGTAGAAAAAGAGGTGCAGGAGCTCATTAGCATAACTTATTTGCATATGCCACACCCCCTGCCATCACTGGAAGTGTGTCAGAAGGCAACACCCACCGCTCAGGCTCCACTGGACTGTTTTGGATTGCTAGCTATTGGGGGGAGGGGGGGAGCGTGCAGATCTGTCCTCGCAGAGGAGGGAGAGCTTGCACCTGAATAAAACTTGGTCTTAAAGGTGCCACTGGACTGTTTTGAACCCGGGGGGGGGGCTATGCAACTTACCTGGCTGCTTCTTGCTCTGACTGAGGGCTGCTGGGAGCAGGGGGTGGGGCTTGTTGCATGTGCCCGCCTCCTGGGCTCTTTACTGTTGGAGCTCCACTCCTGTGCGCTCCTGCAGGAAATTACCCCTGCAATATATATTGGTCAGTAGCAGGCAGTGGACGCAGTGGATGGTAAAGCCGTGTGTGGCCTTCACCCCTATGTGTTTTTCTACGGTGTAGGGGGATGAATGTCATCAGCCATTGTTTTCTCAAGTGCCTTATGATTCTTATTTATTTATTAGATTTTTAGGCTGCCCTTCCCTGCAAGCAGGGCTCAGGGCGGCTTACAATGAAATTCAGTGTAACGACATACCGCAGAATACAAGACTACCAAAATTAAAAGTTAAAACCTACTATAAATGACAGTTAATGCATAAAAACAGCTCCGGATAGCAGAAAATAGTTTACAGGTAAAGTTTTCACAGTCCCCGTGGGGGGGGGGGAGGATATGGGGTGGCTGGGGGAAAACGAGAGTACCAGACTTCATATTGTACCATCGCTGGCCTCAGCCGAATGCCTGACAGAACGTCACTGCCTTGCAAGCCCTGCAGAAAGGTAATGGATCCCGCAGGGCACGGATGTTCTCCAGCAGAGCGTTCCACCAAGCCAGGTCCAGCGCCGAAAAAGCCCTGTTTGAGGACAGCTGGATCTCTCTTGGGCCGGGGACCACCAAGAGGTTCTTACTTCCTGAACATAATAGTTCTTTAGCTTGGAGAAACGATGGCTGAGGGGTGACATGATCGAGGTTTATAAGATTATACATGGGATAGAGCAGGTCGAGAAAGAGGTACTTTTCTCCCTTTCTCACAATACAAGAACTCGTGGGCACTCCATGAAATTGCTGAGCGGTCGGGTTAGAACGGATAAGAGGAAGTCCTTTTTCACCCAAAGAGTGATTAACAGATGGAATTCACTGCCACAGGAGGTGGTGGTGGCTACAAGCATGGATGGGTTCAAGAGGGAATTGGATAAACATATGGAACTCAGTCTGGGGCAAGTGATGCTCTGTATTCTTGGTGCTTGGGGGGGGCAACAGTGGGAGGGCTTCTAGTGTCCTGGCCCCTCTGGTGGACCTCCTGATGACACCTGGTATTTCTGGCCACTGTGTGACAGAGTGTTGGACTAGATGGGCCATTGGCCTGATCCAACATTGGCTTCTCTTATGCTCTTATGTTTAACTCTTTCCTTGCCCTGCAAAGAATTGCTTGTGGATTACAGGATGAGATTCACTTTGTGCTTCACACCCCTTTGTCTGGCTAACAATTTTTAGTCTCCCTGTACAGACTAGGATAATCCCTGCTCCTTTCCCCCCAGTCTTTGTCAGGGTGATGAGAAAATCATTCCTGCGTCCGTCCGTCCCCCAATTGTTACCCATACCATGAGTTCAGCTGTGTTGGCCTTGCTGGATGGGGCATGGTCAATGGAACCTCCGTGTGCAGAACTGGTGTATTCCTTGTGTGCCGAGGGCAAACGGAGCAAAGGTCCTGCCTGTTGACTTCCATGAGGAAATGGCTAGGCACAAAATATGGTTTGCTCATCTGATCCGTTTCGATATTCCCTAACGTCTGCAGGATCTTGAGGCTCTCCCTCTTCATCGGTTGCATAACCATCCTTCTTTTGGAACGTGTCTTTTTATCTCTCTCCTTCCTTCCCCCACCCCAAAACCCCAGAGC